AGACTGCCGAACCTTGCCAAGACAAGGTAGGAAGGCCCTTCAGGATATCCTGCTTCACAGAAAAGTCTATCAGATATACTAGGCCTGTAGGCCAAAGATGAATGCCCCAATGTTGCAGAGGAACCTTGGGTGACTCTCTACGCAGCCAGCTGTTTCTGTCATTTCTCACATTTTTTGGAAGTTGCTTGTTCACGACTGCTTACTCAGTTAATATAATTGCCATCTCAGGTCTCTGAGGGAGCTGAAGATTAGATAGTTATAGTTTTCCTTGTTAACAAATTCAGAAAAGAAATTCACTAAAGAGGTATAAAGTGTATAAGTTGAAAAGACATCAAAAGATAGTTTTCGCTTGGTAATACAAGTTAGGATAGAAAGTGAATTAGGTACATTTTGGACTCACCAAAATAGGATCGATAATGGAGTATTTTCTCTGCTCTGCCATCACTTTCTAGTGATGGGATTAAAGGCATGTGACTCCCAAGTACTGGGATTAAAGGCGTGTGATTCCCAAATACTGGATTAAAGGTGTGTGCCACCACTGCCTGGCTCTGTTTCTCTCCTAGAGTGAGTCAATCTCATGTAGTTCAGGGTGGCTTTGAACTCACAGAGATCCAGACAGATCTCTGCCTCTCGAATGCTAGGATTAAAGGTGTGTACCACTACTGCCTGGCATCTATGCTTAATCTAGTGGCTTGTTCTGTCCTCTGATCTTCAGGCAAATTTTATTAGGGTACACAATATATCACCACAAAGATGTGTTACATTTATTTATGTAAAGATGTGTTGCTGTTTCACCTTACCTGTCTAAGGTACCTGACTGGTCTAATAAAAAGCTGAACAGCCAATAACTAGACAGTAGAGGGGTAGGTGGGGCTTGTGGGCAGAGAGAATAAATAGGAGGAAAGAAGAGAAGAAAGAATGAGGGAGAAAGAGAGGGATAGACACCCGGGCCAGCCAGGCAGCCACCAGACAGACAGACATGGAGTAGGACATACAGAATGAAAGAAAGGTAAAAGCACTAAGGCACAATGTAGATGAAAAGAAACTGGTTAAATTAAGTTATAAGAGCTAGTGGGAAAAGCATAAGCTAAGGCCGAGCATTCATAACTAATATTAAGTCTCCATGTCTTTATAGGGAGTTGGTTGGTGGCCCAAAAGAAAGCCTGCTACAGAGATGCTCTACTGGTGATTTAACCATGGGCAGCGCGCCTGCCACAGTAACTCCTGCAGCCATGCATGGGCACGTGTGCGTGCAGGTGGCAAGGAGGGTTTGGCACACCCTACACAGAATTCGTCTTCTCCCCCACTCCCCTCCTGCTCAGCTACAGGCATATGACTTATGCCTTTCTCCAAAACATATCTTTCATTATGAGTTCTTTCACAGCCCCTGACCTATGCCAGCCACAGCCACATTTCTGAAACCAACCTGAAGGATGAAACCTGGTACAGGGACTATCCAGGAAGTCTCCACGACTTTCACCTCCGTTTTGCTAGACAGGTGAACTGGGGGGCTTTCAGGGCATATATCTTCTTGAACCTTTCCCCATACCTGGTACAAGTTAAGGGTTGTTGTAGGCAGAGTTTTCCTATCTCAGCAGTGCTCCTAAATAACCACACGAAAACTTAATAATAATTGTAAATGCTCAGCCAAAACTCAGGCTTATTCCTAAGTAGCTCTTACAACTTAAATTAACCCATTTCTTTTAATCTATATTTTTGTCACATGGTGGTACCTTTATTAGCACAGCATATTCATCTCCTGCTCCCTCTGTGTCTGGCTGACGACTCCTCTGACTCCACATTTCTTCCTCCCAGCATTCTTAGTTTGGCTCTCCCACCCAATCTCTTCCTGCCCAGCTATAGGCCAGTCTTTATTAACCAATGAGAGTAATACATATTCACAGTGCACAGGATTGTTCCACAGCATTTCCTCCTTTTTGTCTAATTAAAAAAGGAAGGTTTTTAACCTTAACATAGTAAAACAATATGTAACAAAAACAGTTATCAAGTAAGAATTACAGTTAAAATATTCATTTGCATTTGGAAAATTCAGAGAAAATACCCTATTATCTTTGTGAGTCTAAAGTTTTTATTATCTTCCTTTTATCATAACTAAGGAAAACTTTAACTATGACTGTCTAATCTTCAACTCTGTCAAAGATCCCAGAAGGGTGAAATGTTACCTAATGACAGGGACATCAGGCTACCTGGACAGTCACCCAAACTTCTTCTGTAACATTTGGGCATTTGACTTTGGCCTCCAGGCCTAGTATATCTGACAGACATTTCTGAGAAGCAGGGAAATCTGAAGGACTGTCCTACCTTATCTTGGCAAAGTTTGGCAGTTGCCTTTCTTGCATCCTGCTAGTCCAGTTTGGAGAGTAACTGTCAGCAATTGAGGCAAATGCAGTTTTTTTGCCCAAATGGCTAGCTTTTGCCATAAAGAAAGCAAACTCCATATGGAGGTTTTTTGATACCCATCATCTTTTGAAGTAAATTGGTGCTGCCAGGAGCAGACATGTCTCATTGTCATGAAAAGCCTTAGGTTATTAAAACATTTTAAATGCCATATTCTGTAGGTCTTTTGAAGTATTTGAAGACCATTTATCTATCTAACTGTATCTGTTTATGACCTTGAAAATATACCTAACTTGACTATAAGTTTGACTTATAGTCATACAGATAACTAGTTATTAATCTGTATTTCTTAATATACATTGTTTTTAAATGAGTTTCATAAATACAATACTCCAAACAAGAGTAGAAACATACATATATTATAACAAAATTAACTTTAAATTTGTATTGATAAACCAAAATCCATACCAATGTAAAATATTTTGAGATTAGTAGTTGTTTTTTGGATGAAAGTAGGTTCAATAATCTATCTTTTTATCTCATTTCTATATTATATCCCCCTTTTTTTCTTTCACAAAGAGATCTTGGAATTTAACCCCTTTGTTTAGGGTTTTTTTCCTGACCATTATCAATAACAACTTGTAATCATCCTACCTTAAATGATAACAAATATCCATTACCAATATTTTGGGAATGTGGAATATTTGAAAGTGCTAACATCTTTTGGGGGAACCTTGAGAAAATCAGGATAATTGTTAAATCTTGGCTGGAGTAGTCTATGAGGCTGGATCATCTCAGCCAACAGCCTTGAAGCTGTTCCGGATGCAGAACTCACAAACTGCAACAGAGGCATTCTGAGATGTTCCATCATCTGGGCCATCTGTCTTTATTGGTGTCTGGTCTGGTCCCCTTGCTCTGAAAATACATAAACTTTTTAAGGTAACATACATATCTGCATTAATACAAGTATAGACTGTGCATTGTATACAAATCAGCCAAAGATTTTTTTTTTTTTTTTGGTTATGTGTTTGAGCAGGTAAAGCATACATCACGTGTCTTGTAGTTCTTCTAGATTTCTTTATGTCTGTAGTCAGGATTTCAGGGGGTCTTCTGTTGCATGAATCATAATTGGTCTTAATAAAAACCCTGAGCCAGATATCAGGGTGAAAGCTGAAAGATCAGAGAAGCAGAGCAAGCCACAACCACCAATTCTTACCTCACCAACTCCTTAATCTGCAAGAGCAGGGAAAAGCCAAGTTCCTGTCTCCTCCCAGCTTACATTCCTTTCTCTGCCCAGTCATATCACTTCCTGTTTCAACCTTCCCAGTGGTGGGATTAAAGGTGTGTGATCCCAAGTGCTGGGATTAAAGGTGTGTGCCACCACTGCCTGGTCTCTATGTTTAATCTAGTGGTTTGTTCTGTCCTCTGATCTCTAGACAAATTTTATTTGTTCAAAATATCACCACCGTCTTCTTTGATGAAACCTGATCATCTTTAACCTGGAATGAATCCACAGCCTCCCATTTCCTGTGGATGTAAAAGCAAAGCCTCTTCCCTAAAGTAACATTATTTTTGCTTCTTTTTTAAAGTCAAGACATTTAAATATATAGGTTGGTTTAATCTAGCAGTTTCCATAATCCAATGTGTCTTAGAAGCTGCCGTTCCTTCATTAGCAATCATAAAATCTAAAGACAACACAATAACATACAGAATCCAGACTCTGTGTATTTCCCAACTTTACATGGCTTTTTTCTTTTATATTACTTTACTCCCTTTTTAAGGTTTTTACTTTATTACTTTAAAGCTATATTTTTAATCTATGACTGTATAACTCTTTCTCTTCCCTCTCCCAAGCCTGTGTATATTTTTAAATACACTCTAACCTATTTAGAGTTTCTGTCTGGATCTGTCCTTACTGTATATCTGTAACCTATTCTGTCTGCATGAGCAAAACCCCAAACTTGCCACGCAACATGCTGGTGGCTCATGGTGGCTAGGAGATGTGTCTCTGTACCATGGCAGGCATGAGAGACATGAGCCTCGGAAGTCAAGTTTGGCTCCGGATTTGTGTGTTTAGAACCTTTTTTTAAAACCTTCTCAGGTCTTATGTGTAGGTACATGGCTGGATGTTGGTCACCATTTGTAGACAGATTTTCTGTACTGCCTTTCCAGCTCCCAAATAGTTAACACAGAGACTTCTTAATTACAAAAGCTGAGCTGTAATGCCATGCTGCTTGCTCTGTGTCCTGGCATCTCCACTCTCCTTCCCAGCATTCTTTCTGCTCTGAAAATCCTGCCTAGCTATTGGCCATTTAGCTTTTTATTAAACCAATCATAGTGACATATATTTACACAGTGTAAAGGAATATTCCACAGCAAGTTGTTATTTTTGTAATCATTATGATTAAATACTTGACAGAAACAAGGGAGGATGAATTTATTTCAGCTCACAATTTCAAAGGGTTTTGTCCATGGTGGCTTGGCTTCTTGCACTTGGGCAGAACATTATGAAGGTAAGAAAATGTAGAGGAGGAGGCTGCTCAGTTCACATCAGACAGGAAACAGAGAAATAGGAAGGGGCCAGGAACAATATATCCCCAAGGACCCACCCACAACGATCTACTTCGCCAGCTAGGTCCTACCTTCTAAACTTTCCTGTAGCAGGCTTTCTTTTGGGCCACCAACCAGCTCCCTATAAAGACACGGAGACTTAATATTAGTTATGAATGCTTGGCCTTAGCTTATGCTTCTCTCACTGGCTCTTATAACTTAATTTAACCTGTTTTCTCTTCATCTATGCTTTGCCTCAGGGCTTTTTACCTTTCTTAAATTCTGTATGTTCTACTCCATGTCTGGCTGGCCAGTGTCTCCCTCTCTTTCTCCCTCATATTCTCTTCTCTCTCTCCTCTCTTCTCTGTGGAGCCCCCCCCCCACTTTTCCCATGGTACTCTTGAGGAGAGAGGGATGAAAAACTTGTAGATAGAATGATATACCTAGCCAATGAGAGGAAAGACATAAACACAGGATAGCTTCAGGATGACCTGGGTCAATAACCAATGACCCAGAACTTTATTCAAAGGGGCTTTTTATAACAATGCCCAGGGGCAAGGCAAAAGACCCCCCCTTGCTATATACAGCCAAGTGTAGACCCTTCCAAACACCTGGTACCGAGGCCCATGGTCCAATCACTCTCTTATGCAGTCCTTCTGGGTAAAGCAAGCTCAGTTCTTACTAGGAAACCTCTGTGGGCTCCCACAGGTCCCCCTTCTTAATATTTTAAATCTCAAGTAGGGGTACAAAGCTTAACTCTATGCAGCTCTGACTCAGGTTCTCACTAAGACCTTGCAAGTAGCTGGAATAACCACAGCAATACTCCTGCTTCCTAAGGCTGCCACATCTCCCAGTAAAGGATGATAAAGATGGAATGTCCCTTTTTTTAAAAAAAGATTTATTTATTTATTTATTTATTTATTTATTAAGTGTACAGTGTTATGCCTGTATGTATGCTTGTACACCTGAGGAGGGCACCAGATCTCATTATAGATGGCTGTGAGCCACCATGTGGTTGCTGGGAATTGAACTCAGGACCTCTGGAAAAGAAGCTAGTGCTCTTAGCCTGTGAACCACCTCTCCAGCAGAATGTCCTTTTTGAATGGGTCTAAGATATCTATAGAAATCTTAGCTGCATCAAGCACTTTTTTTAAATCAATAAACTCTTGATGCAACCACATCAAATAAGTCAATAAACTCCTGATGCAGTTGCATTAAACTTAAAGACTCCCTTAGCTTCACCAAACCATGGTGCATCAATATCAACAGGTTAACATAATAACTCTAACATAAATATTATTATAAGTAATTACAATTCCTACAAACCTTCATACAAAAGCAATACTCTCGCAGTGTGGCAGTGGCCCATGCCTTTAATCCCAGCACTCGGGAGGCAACGCCAGGTGGATCTCTGTGAGTTTGAGGCCAGCCTGGTCTACAGAGTGAGATCCAGGACAGGCACCAAAACTACATGGAGAAACCCTGTCTTAAAAAGCAAAAACAAAAGCAATACTCTCAGTATAACCACTAAGACTTTAAAAACTTTAGCAAAAATCCAAAAGCAATTCCTTAATAGAACTATACAAACATAGGGTACATTAACACAAGTTAACATCAGTCCACTCAAGGGACAAGAAAATATTTTTTATAAATAAATTAAATAGACTGAGGAATATTAACTCCCCCTTTTCTTTATAGTTTTTAAAATGCATCTTGAACCTGAGTAGAAAGAACCCAAACTTCTCCATTTAAACAGTTCCATTTTTAACACAAAACCAGTTCCATAAGCAGTTCCATTTTTACATAAACAGTTCTATTAAACAGTTGCATTTTTAACACGAAACAGTCCATAAGTAGAGTTTCTATGTGTAAGTGAAGTCAAAATTGTCCAGTTGAATCACTCCTGTCCATCTCATTTCTTAACTCTGAATAGTTTAAAAACACAGTTCTATCACCAGTCTTAAAATTCCAGAAGACTTTCTGATATCAGTCTTAAAGTTCTGAGCACTCAACATCAGGGTCTGACTTGTCAGCTGCCCTTAAGTCTTTGTATAGCTGTCAGAGTCGTAATGACCCTGAAGCAAACAGCTCCAAATATGAGGAGTCCCACAACCAAACCTTTTTCAGTTCAGCCTCTCTGAAACTTTCACTGTCTGCCACCGCTGTGCTGTGCAGTCTGTAACCTTTCCCTAAGGCCATTTTTGCTTCAGGGCAAAAGCTACTAGCTGGCTGGGACAGAGTCCTTCCAAAAGAGACTTCTTACAGCCAGCAAACAGAAACTTCAAGGCTTTAGCTGCTAGCTCTCTTCAGGCTTTTACAATCCCAGTCTTGAGGCCTGAAGGCTTTCAATCGCCTCACACTACATGGGCTCAAGAGGCTCCCCTGCTACAAACAAGCCGCTGCTTTCAGCACCCAGGGTCCAGGAGGAAACCCAGCCACCACAGAGCTACAGCTTTCTCGGGTCCCATTACCGGCTTCACCGGCGGCCCTGAACTCGGCACCCTGGGTCCCAGAAACCTCGGTGTGCTGCTCTGCTTGCATGGCCGAATGTAGCCCCAGGGCAGCTCCGTGGTCCAGTGTCTCTGCAGCTCAGCCTGGAACACAGCTTCCATCACCTCGGCATTTCTTACTGCTGTTCCATGCAGGGGCACATCTCAGCCGCCCTCCAGCTGCTGCTCCCGCAGCGTCTCTGCCGGTCTCCAGCCGCCAGGAACTGCGGCTCCGGGAGACAGACCTGCTCCGGCAGCTGGGGTCCAAAGTCTTTACTGCACTCTATCCACTCCTCACCGTGGCTTTTTCACAGCAGAAGGCTTGCAGACCCTCGATGCTCACGCTGTCTCGAGCATCTGTCACCTGCACTGCGCTGATGCCCCGCAGGTCTCTGCTTCCAATGCCTGGCTGCTGCCACTTGCTCTGGCTCTGGCATCAGCTGTTGTTGGCAGCTTCTGGAGCTTCTGAAGCCACTCGGACTGCCAAGTTCGCAATGGCTGCTAGGTCCTGGGTGCTGCCCTGTGCACCCCAGGTCCCGTCCATGCTCTGGGGAAAAAACTATTCTATTCTAAATTTCTTTTATACTGAAGTCTTACTTAAGCCTATACAGTATCCCTATACCTAAAGTTTATTCTACCCTAATACACCTAAGCCTACGTTCCTCAAACTAAACTTATGACTTACTTTAGTAGAAAGAGCGAGACATAGAAACAGAGACCTAACTTTAACTACTTACTTCAGCTTAACTTGAACTACTCTGCTTTATATTTAAAATTTTACGCCTGAAAAATAGAATACCACCGCCTCAACTAAATTCATTAATTCATTACCGGGCATGCCCTCCATCCCCGCTCCCATGGTGCCCCCTACTCTCCTTTTGCCAAGTCCCTGTTCTGTGGGAGTCCCTGAACCTATGCCCCACATTGTGCACCATCTGTGGGGGATCCTACCCCCACCTTTCCCACGGTACTCTTGAAGAAAGAGGGATAAGAAATATTAGGTAGAAAGAGAGACCTGGCTGATGAAAGACAGAAACACAGGACAGCTTCACGAGGACCTGGGTCAACACCCAATGGCCCAGAACTTTATTCAAAAGGGCTTTTTATAACAATGCCCAGGGGCAAGGCAAAAGCAACCACCCCCCTTGCTATATACAGCCAAGTGCAGACCCTTCCAAACACCTGGTATCCAGGCCCATGGTCCAATCACCCTCTTGTGCAGTCCTTCTGGGTAAAGCCAGCTCAGATCTCACTAGGAAACCTCTATGGGCTCCCACACTTCTCTTCTATTTCTTCTCTCTGCCCACCAGCCCTACTTATCCCTCCATTTTCTAGCTATTGGCCATTCAGCTTTTTATTAGACAAATCAGGTGCCTTGGGCAGGCAAAGCAGCACATCTTGACATCATTAAACAAGTGCAGCATAAACAAATGTAACACATCTTCACATCATTAAAGTAACATTCTGCAACATAAACAAATATAACACATCTTTACACAGTTATATTCCACAACACTTTCCAGAACCTGCCAAAATAGCACCACCAGCTTTGGACCAAGCATTCAACACTGAGCCCACAGGGGACAGTTCATATTCAAACCATAACAACCTCTCATCAGTCATATGCCTGTGGCTGAGCAAAGAAGCTGAATTCTGCAGAGGGTGTATCTAATCCTATTCGTCACCTGTGCTCACACATGCCTATGAATGGCTGCAGGAGCCTCTGTGGCAGATGTACTGCCCGTGGTTAAGTCACCAGAAGAGCATCTCTCTTTGTTTATGAGCTGGGAAGGAAGGAAGTTGCCCAGCTTGCATAGTGAGTGGCCGATTATAGGCAACGGTGGCAATGATGGTGAAAGTGCTTGACGGTGGTTGGCCAGAAGGGAAAGGTCGGCACAGTGGTACCCACAGTCTGCACACATCTGCATCTCTGCATGGACAGGCGCAGGTGGAAAGTACAGCCAAAGTTGGCACAATGTGAAGGCTGTCTGCGGTATGAAGAAACTGGCACTGGACCAGGTGAGCTCTCTGACAGAAGTAGGTACAAGGGCCAGGGGGTGTAGTTTAGTGGTATAATGCGTGCATAGCATGCATGGGACCCAGGATTCCATCAATAGCACTGTTAAAAAGTGAATCAAAAAGTATAATATTATAAGCTGGGGTCTCCGCCAGAGCAAAGAGGGCATCTTTTAGCTGGGTGGTGGTGGTGCACACCTTTAGTCTCAGCACTTGGGAAGCAGAGGCAGGTGGATCTCTGTGAGTTCAAGGCCAGTCTGGTCTACAGAGTGAGTTCCAGGACATCCAGAGCCATAAAGAAACCCTGTCTCAAAAACAAAAAAAAAGAAAGGAAGAAGGAAGAAAGGAAAAGAAAGAAAGAGAGAGAGAGAGAGAGAGAGAGAAAGAGAGAGAGAGAAAGAAAGAAAGAAAGAAAGAAAGAAAGAAAGAAAGAAAGAAAGAAAGAAAGAAAGAAAGAAAGAAAGAAAGGAGGAAAAGAAAAGAAAAGAAAGAAAGAAAGAAAGAAAGAAAGAAAGAAAGAAAGAAAGAAAGAAAGAAAGAAAGGAAGAAAGGAAGAAAGAAAGAAAGAAAGAGAAAGAAAGAAGGTATCTTCTGAGCATGAGTACATTATGGCCTGGTAGCCAAGAATCCCTGAAGC